TTGTAAAAGTGTTAGAGAACTCGTTTAATTACGCGGAAGCTGTAGTGAAAAAAAAAATATGTACGAACATTATGACGTTTTAGATACTAGTAAACGATAACGAAACAAGATACAATTCCGCTCCGGTACTTCAGTGATAATAAGATAGATTACGTAATGTGTGTGTGATGCAAAAGAACGTGATGTTTTTTGTGCAATTAATGGCACAGTATTATATACGATTTAAGTGTATGTATACAAAATTTGTTTTCTTTCAATCAGAAATTTAACAAACTATTCTGTTTATACATAATTGGAATATAATAAAATTTCAATCAAAGACATCTAATACATTATTTTTTGACATTAACAAAAATAATTATTTTTGATAATTTATTGCAATGTTAATAAATAAAGATTTACTTCAGTGTTTTTTTTGAAGATTTATTACAGTTTTATCTTATAAAAGTCATTTTTTTATATATATATAACTTACATAAAATTTTGTGTTATCTAAGATCGTGAACCTTCACCTTTTGCGCGAGTACAACACGATTAATCTCCATCGAATCCCGGGTAATTTCTCTTTTATGACACATCAAGCTTGCTCCACGATGTTACACTATCACAGGCCACTTAATAGTTCAAATATCATCAGATAATGCAAATTTACATTTTACGTATAATTGAATAAATCAAACTGAATAACTTGTTCCACATTTATATTTGCACTAAATTTCTGTGTTTACTGACTTAAAATAAATGGAATTTTTTCATAGTTGCTGATTATTTTATCAAGATATAATCACACTATGTCAATATTTCCCTACATTTTAAACTTCTTAAATTATCACCGATATCGTAAAATCGATACGAAATATCCGTTCCATATTTATTTCATTATTTGACATTTATCGAAATAAATACTTTCTCTTTTTTATTTGATTAAGAATGCCGTTCTCATTATTTTATCTTGTCCTCAATGTAATTATATTATTTTAACTTTAAAAATGACCATTCTCTTGTATTCTACGTTCTTTTGACATATTAACATATATATTTTAATAGAAACAAATTATTAGCAAGAAAATATGTATTTTTACTTAAAAAAAAAAAAAGTATTGAAGTTTTAGAGAAGGAAAAGCCACTATAAACTTTTGCAACATTATAAATGTTCAACATAAACATTAACACATTGAAATATTGCGTAATGTTATCGCGTGAACGATATCAATGCGATATAGGCAATGTGATACAACGTCAAGTGCCAAAGGTTAAGTTTTAAGAGTGAATGAGATTAAACACGATTCCGCAGGATTAACAATCTTTATTGTCACAATTTCTGATCACATTCACTTAATCGACGCGCGTGATAAAGTTATGCAGATTAAAAAAGACTATTCTTATAAATATATGTTTCTAGTATTTTGCGTCTCTCAACAAGAATGAATTTGTAACACAAAAATATGTTTATGTTTGTTAAAATATTTTAGCCAAATTATGTGAACAGATAAGGTATATGCCATTTTGAATCTGAGCAAACAGGATGTGAACAATCCAAACTTACGCTGATTTACATTAATTCCAGATAAAAAAATAATAATGTAAGAAAATTTAAGAGAAGCATTTCCTGCTTCGCAATTTTATTTACTCACTTGCGAATTTTTACGAAGCTTATTTGGTAAAGCGCATTCGTGATTCTCGTTATCTTACACTTGTCTTACTAAATGTTAAATATGCTAGTCACGTCATATGCAATACTATGGTGTATGTGTTAAAAATTGTTCGCAACATATTAGATATTTACTTTCAATTTATGCAAACAAATATGGAACATTCAAAATGTTACACAAACAAATTTTTAATTTAAACTGTGATATTAATGTGTACTTTAACTACAAAATTAATATAATTATATTGAAATTAAATATTGCTTAATTAATAATTACATTTATAAATAATTAAATAAATCTAAAGACAAAAAAGAAAGAGAGAAGTCAATTAACTGATTACATAATTGTAGTACAATAATGGATAAATAAAAATACTAAAATTAGTTAAGAATAATATTCAAGAGAATTACATTTCTACATAACGTATATGTATAATAAAGTGTGAATCATTTTCGTTTCAAATATTTCAAATTCTGTTTGTGTTATAACATACGTTTGTTTTTGTAAATATCTCGCAAATTTTGAATCAAAACAAGTTCGTAATGCATTCCATTTGTTATAATATCTTCATCTCTCTTGAAAAATTTAACAAATTATGCCATTTGATACAACAAAGTTTTATTTTAGAGAATTTATTTTTTAAATTGCAGTAAGTACGATGATTTTTACACATCAGAGTTATGAGCAATCAAAGTCAAAATACTCCTTTTATTTAATCCGAGATAACTCAATACTTTAGGAACATTTTTAAAAAACAATTATGTTAGAAAAATTTTTAGCTCTCATATTAAAAAATTGAAAATTATTGCAAGTCTTTTTAAATACGTGACAACCCCATAAATTATGAAAAATTTTCCATTTTGTCCAGCTCTTAGCTTTGTATAAAAATGGTCAAACTCGCAGAAATTCAAAATTCATAATAATCTTTTGAAAATAGAAATTTCATTTCTAAAACTCTTCTTTTTTATTTTAAATTTTGTTCATTTTTAACAAAATTATATCTGCTTGAATTTTGAAGTTCATAGCAAATTTAACTCCTGTTTCAACCTAATATATACGTATTTAATTAGCAAATTTAATGTAACGTGATTACTGAAACCTTATTAAAAGGCAGTAAAAATAACACTTCACTTTCACGCCTACTTAAATAATATATTTCAACGTTGATTACCTGTCGATCGCGTGAAAATGATTTATGTAACAATCTGTGTAGTTTCTTATGTAAGTAACAATACGTGTAACATCCATAATTTTCGTTTCGTCGGGTTTTTCCGTCCGCCACGCCGCGCTCCCCGGTTCGCATCATCACGCGGAAAATGCGGACTCGCGCGTTAATGTCGTAATAATGCCTGGCGAAATCACAAGTTATTAACCATACATAGCAACTATAAACCGCCAGTTTGCGGATATTCTCCTTATCTTGCGTATTTCATGATTGCGATAAACGTACGAAACGAAAACATATGTGGATGCGAATTGCGAAGCTGGCATGCAGTGTGGATATTAACCTCCGAGCTACAAAATGTTGAAATCCTGATGTATTAATTACAGATTTTCATGTATTTTCACATGTATTCTCACACTATACTCATTTACTTATCAAGAATTTTAATAGTGCAATCATTAGCGCAACATTTGTCCAGTATATATTCCCAACATAAGGAACACACAAAAATTAAAATGACGTCAAAATGACTTTATTTTAACGTTTAAAATCAATAAACAGTTAAATTTTATAACAAAAAATCGTTTGACGTATTTTGACGGTAAAGTACGTCATTTCAACTTCTTCTTGATTGGTGTGTGTTCCTTTTGGGAGGAAGAGGGGAGGAAACATAAAAGTTAACAAAAATTAAAAATGACAATTTTAATTTTTAACGTTAATAAACAGTGAAATTTTGTAACCAAAAATCATTTTAACTTTCATAATGTCAAAATCAAGTTTTGACTTTCTCTTTCCTTAGTACGTTTCTTGAGCAATGCATGTTAATGTTTAATCAATATATCACTGTATGAATTATCTTGCTTAAGAAACATTAACCGTCCATTACCTTCGCTTTACTTTTTAATAGTCCATGCGCATTGAATCAAAAGTGTCAGAAAATGGCACAAAGTAAAAATGAATGTGCAAATTAATCTTAATAATATAAGTATGTTAAATTGTGGGTCAGTTTTTAACGATAAGATTCACCACCGCTTAGACGAGCTGTAATTCACGTTTCAGATTTTAGAATACAATTCTATTATACATTTTGTAATTTTATACGTCATGTACTTCGGTCTGTGTATCTTAGCATATACTTTACATACGTATGTATTCTAATTGTCCACATGTCATTCGTATCACATAAAATTACAAATAGAATTCTAATTCAAATTGTGACATGAATTATAGATAATCTAAAGTTAAGAATGACGTCGATATGAGGATTTTAAAATCGGTTGGAAGAATACACAAAATAAGAAATAACAGCTGCGTTCAGCAGAAGAAGCAGCTTTGTACGCACAACAATTGTATGATTCTTAATGTAACAGTTTATGCATTTAAAGTGAGGTATTATATAAGGGCAAAACTAATTACATCAAAGAATTTTATAACTGCAAAGCTGCTTTCTCTGCCGAACGCCATGCAGCCAAAGATTTTATAAGCATACACATCGATAACGTGATAACACTACGTTTTAAATGTTACTTTGAAGTTAAGGATCAATGCAACATTATATAATGAAAATAAATCCGTGTTCTCAAATTTTTCAAACGTGCCCGTTTTTTTTTTTTTTGAGAAAATATGTGAAAATTTATTGTTAATTAAAATTTAACTTAATTCAATGTTATCAACTATCTCTTTATCAACATGTTATTTACGTTCGCGATGTTTCTCTGCGCGCAGTATCGCACGTGCGCTTTTTTTTAAATCAGCATGCCCACTTGACATATCTCATTATGTTTTATGCTTATATAGAGCCTTATTTTACTTATTAGAAATTTTATTGTTTTAAAATTTAAAAGAGGTCCAATAGAGATGTAATATCGATTACATATTATATGATTGCAAGAGTACTGACAGCTCAAAGAATTTAATCTTTAATCGAGATCTCAACGAGAATGTCCATCTTGTCTGATAATACGAATGTCTGATGATACGAAAGAGCGATAAAACACGAAATTCTCCTCCATAAGTTACACTGTATTACACTTTCCGTAGCAAGACAAATATTTATGCATAAAAAAAAAAGGAAAAACTCAAAAAAGAATAAAGGAAGAATATTGACGTACGAACTTCGTCGTTATCGCACATGGACGAGAAACTAATTCCAGCGAACTAATTTTAGAATTTTGATTACACACCGTGACCTTCCTCTAGTCCAGTCGATGGTCCCTCGTCGGGGTACAGTCGTGGGTCTCAGAGGGAACGTCTGACTGTACAAAACTGCGCTAGGTATGCCGGACTGACCAGCGCGTGTCGAGGTGTACAACAGAGTATGCGGCGGAGGCCCGCGACGCTAACATCGGCCCGAGAATTCAATTCTTATCAGTCGTATGCAGTATGTCGAACGCGAAGATATACGTATATCTTGATTTAATCGATTGCGCGGACGCCGCGCAAATGGATCTTTCGCAAACGCGCGGAGCGCAGCTTCTCCGTCAACGTGGTACCCAATGTGGTATTTCCTCGTTTGTATTATCTATTCCTGCTTGGTTCCGTTTGGGACAATTAATTCGATGCAATTGCGATGTTCTCGCAATCAACGAATCTCCCACTTTAACTCGGCGCGCGATTATCGCGCACAAATGGCGATATATGCGACGAGAGAAGTCGCGTCACCAAACGTTAACGTAAGGATATTGAATCGTATGTCTGGATTGCATATTTTGTGAATTTATTGGATATCCATTAGAAATAATAAAGACATAAAAGTATCGCCGTTTTTTTACCAGAAGAAATATGTCGCGTTTTTAGAACCACGTTTGGAGAATTTATAATCTTAGAGAAAAAATATAATATAAACAGTTTCATCTTTACCTTGTTTTACAATGTTTATACTCATCCACAAAAAATGGATCATTTTAAAGTTACACTGGTCCATCTTGTTGTAAAAAGAATATATATATATATATTAGTAATTAAGTTGTCAAAAAAACAATCGATTGTTTTTCTTTTCTCTCAAAAACTTTTAGAATAGACTGTCACTTTAAAGAGTAAGACTTTTAAAGATTGAAAATTTCAACAGCCAGTCTTGAAAAAGAATTTGGAAAGTTTTATTTATTTTATTTTTTTTCTACAATAAAACTACTTGTTGGAAATAAATCACAATATCAGAAACGGAATATAGATAGTCTTCCGTCGTATTGGTCGTAATGCTTCATAATATCACAAGATATTCAACTGCGAAGATTTACAATGAAAATAAAAGATCTCATACGGTGTAAATTTTCATGAAGAAAGATACACGATGTGTTTTTTTACATAGAAATATTTTTCAATCTTTTTCAATTTTCTCTCTCGCAGCACGTTATAATAATAAATAACCTACATAATTTCTTGAAATACATCGCATTAGGAACTTCAGCACTTATCATAGTTCTTTCACTATTATAAATACGAAGTTCGGAAATAGAAAATAGTTAAAAAATTTTTATTTTTATCGTTTTTTTAAAAGTGATTGTAAACATTTTTTACTTCGCGCTTTATTCGCTTTTTTATTGTATATTAAATTTTATTTATACATTACAGAGAGATGCATACAATAATTTTTACTTTTTATAAATAAACAAATATATATTAAAGTTTTTATCAATCACCTTATATTTTGGAAATTGTCTCGTTCTATGGTACGTACACATATTTATTATAGCAGTTTAATAATTTAAGTAGTAGAAAGACATTTATAATTAATAAATAATTGTGTTTGCTTTAACTCTCTTATAGGTATTTACAATTTCCCCATTCTTCTTTACATTAAAAACATTAAAAATATATAATGTTAAAAATATATATGGTCTTTACTTTAAACAACGTGCATGCTATAATATGTCTGTACAAGCGTTGTGGCAGCACTTAAATGTACATCCAAACTATCACTAAATGCAAGAAATAAAAGATTATCATTGCTCAAATATGTTGCAATAATATATCGTTCGCAATGCTATATAATGCTTATTTATTTATATATCTGCATTTTTAGATAACAAGTAATGCAAACATGCATTACATGGATTCTTTTAAAATCCTTCTCACTATACAGATTTTATTTTTTTATTTACCTATAGCGTGATTCATAAATCACATATTCCCGATGAATTTACGCAGAAATGCGATACGTAGAACTGATAAATAACTGATAAATTTCACTATCCGCGTTATATTTTTTATTAAAGGATCTCGATAAGAGTCAATAATAAGAGAATATAAGTAAAACGCACAAAACATATTTAAAATGAGCAAGCCCATTAGTGGTTTTATTAAAGTGATGCATAAATCAATATTTAATGAATTTAATGCTGACGCATTGTTGTCCTTGATTTTTAATTTAATCTTGACAAATATTTCCAATTTTTTTCTGTTATCACACACACACACACATTAGGTAGCAATTTGGTAATTGCAATTACATTTCATATATAATATAAAAAAATATTAATATTAACTACTAAATATTATATTAATCATTATATAAATATTAGTTACTACATAAATTATATTGGTTTCTTACTTACTAAATAAACTATTATTTTAGAGAAGGTTCAAATTATCTTTCTACTGAAGTCATGATAAATTTTAATATTTTAATTAAATACACGACTATATGGAAGTAATAATTAGATTGTAATCTAGCAAAGAACTTTTAAAGTATAATCATTATTTTGACTTGGTATATTCCAGAGTTGGACGTATAATCGTTTATTTTCAATAATCAATTACTTATCTTATAATAAACAATTTCTGTAATTTTAATTACAGAGTAATCAATTACTTTGGTAATCATAATTGTTGGTAATCATACTGTATGATCAAATTATTTAGTATCAAATTACTTAATAATCATACAATATGATTATCAGTACCTAATTATGATTTCCAAAATAATTATTTACTGTGTAATTAAGATTATACAGGAATTGTTTAAGTAACTGATTATCAAAAGTTGTGGATTACGTCGAACTCTGCTACGGATACGTCTATTTTGTTGAAGCTGAAGCCGACTGTATTGTTTCTACCATTGTCTATGTACAATACAACTTATATTCTTCAACATAGTTATTACCACGTTTTTTAGATGTTCTAAAAAATTTTAAATGCAATTTTTATATTGTTTTATTTTTATCTTAACCGATTTGTTCTACAGAGATAAAGTTTACATTTTGCCATTATAATTATGCAATTTATTATTATTATCTAATGTAATTATTAATATATGCAATTGTTTGAGAATCAAGGGATCACAAGTAAATGAGTGGGGGTATATTCATGTGTATATGTGAACTATAAGAATTTTATCAATCAATTTAATCGATTGTGGCAGAAAAGGAGAGGAAAAGATTGTGGAAAAAGCCTACGGGGATCAGAGGGTAGGGTGAATGAGGAAGGGAGTCAGTTGGGTAGATTTGATAATAGCTATTGTGAAGAAGCGAAGGAGGAGGAGGAAGAGGAGAAGGAACAGGGACTTCTAGAAATTCTACGTTCGAAATTATAGAAATTATATAATATGTTGAGATGCTCGGGATGATGGAATAGAGGACGATACACGAGATGACGAAAGGGGGTGGGATGCGGACTGAAGTGGAATCAAGAGTTGACGGAGGGGTGTCTGGAAAAATTCACTCCGCCGAGGCATCCGATAAAGCAGGCGAATCTGGTATCAGGACAGATGACGAAGATCGAGGAGGGGGTATAAAAGGACGTCTCTAACTGATTTTACGGAGCCGGAGGAGTCTGTGAAGCCGGAGGGGTTGGCGAAGACAGCCAGAGAAGCCGGTGAAGAGCTAAAGGGGTTGGCGAAGCCGGAGCAGCCGGTGAAGCCGCGGTGGTGCTGAAGCCGGAGGAGAGACCCTCACTTGGGTCTCGGACAATTCCAAGATCGAGTTATCCGAAGTAGTGAGATACTCTTGGGACGCTTCATCCAGGAATATGCTCAACTCCGAAGCCAACCTCGGCTGCGGGGATAGTTATATTATTTCTCCAACGAGGCCTCACTAAAGGTTGCAGACGAGTTAGTTCGATTCCTGCAGAGAATAATTAAAGAAGACTTGCCGTTTGCTTTTGGTCCAGTGTCCTCTTTGGGCTTGGGATACGGTCAACACGATGCCACAAATGCGCTTTGAAACGTTTCTTGATTGGTCAATTTGTAAAATTCGGAATAGCTCGTATAATCGTTGGATCACGAATTATATAGATGTAATAAGTATTGTTAAATTACAACTATAACATTGTGACTCTATATGCCTTTATACCGATGTACAATTTTAAATATACATAGGTTATTTTATATTTTGATTTTTAATTGCGAGAGAGTCGTTAACTTGATATATTATTTCAATATTTAAAGTTTTTTAAACTATTATTAAAATTCTTTTGATTGGTCAATTAAACGCTTCAAAGCATTTATAGCGAGACTTTGACCGCACCCTTGGTCTTTGTGCTCTTGACCTCGAAACTCACACACAGATATTCGAATGAACCGAACGATTTGGAAAACAGACTGCACGATAAACTCAACATTAAAGCGAGTTGCAAACTTTTTAGGAAAAGCGATTTGTACAAGGGATGTTCCGTGATAGTTTATATAGCGATTAAGTCTTTTGGAGGATGGTTTTTTTGGTAGGACTTGCGTTGAGTTGGAAAAGCAAGGATTCGGGTTGATAGAGTTTGTCGCCTTGGGTGGAAGATTTTGTTTCTCGAATAATTATTGGAAAATCGCTTTCAATTCAGCTCCGCTCGCACTATGTATGCTTTCCTTTTAGAGGACACACTCGACACAAACATCGCGTTCTATCTTTATCATTCGTTGAATGTTAAGAAGGATAGAACGACGTTTGTGTCGAGTGTGTCATCTAAAAGGAAAGCATACTATATGTGCACTAGTTTAATAAAAAGTACCGGAATAAAAAATAATAGACTTGTTGAAAATTGAAAACTGCAAATTACAGAATAGAATTCAATTAATTATAGAACAAAACTAATAAACAGATTAAATTTAAAGAATTATCCGATTAGTCCAATTCTCTCGAACTTCTAACACATTATTTTCTCAATTCAAAGATACGCGCCAGTATCACTCGCGATCGGAAGTGGCAGATCACGTCATCTGGTCGGACTTGCCTCAAACCGCAAGCAAATCAACTAATTAATTTGTGATTTGGACGGTCGACTTCCGCCGTAGCCGGTTTACGCAACAGACAGATAATCAGTCGATCGTTTTTCGTGCGAGATTTTCAGCGAAGAGAAATGTTGCGCGTCGTAGCGACACGCGTGGCCTCGGCAGCGCGCACCGCGATTATGCCGCAGATCTCCGTCGTCGGCACGCAGAGCACCAGAGCCGCCCATGGTGGTCTCAAAGAGACCGACGAGGAATTCGACCAACGATACGTGAATTTTTTTAGCCGCAATGATATCGATCATTGGGAAATCCGAAAAGCCCTGAACGATCTGGCCGGTAAGTTCGCAGTGTTAATTGCTTCTATTAACAAATGATCTGAATCTTGGACTGTTTGAAACACGACACTTCATACCGATGGTGGTTCTCTTATTGCCAAGAACTGCCAAGAACGCGAGAAGTCATAAAGTAAAACACGGCTGTTCCTTTCAATTGCATTTTATTTTGGATCGTATCTATGTGAATATACGGTGTTCTGGTATCACCGAACATCTATTTAGTCACAACTTCTATAAAGTCCTATAGAAATTTTTATTATAAAACTTGTATTGAAAAATAAGTAGGAAAGTATCTTGTTCAGTCTGAGCTAGATCTTAGTATTTAATGATATTTCAATATGAATTTATATGCAGAATTGGATGTGTATATAAATACTGTTGTATTAAGCACTAAGCTCAAATCTAATTATGCATTTTCCTACTTATTGTTAGTTTTATTTATATATCAATCTAATGGCATATTGATTATTGCTTATATTATATTAAAGTCCTTTATAACTTTTATTCAAATTCACTTGAAATTATACTTAAGAAATAATATTTCCATGCATGTATTTGTCTTTCTGAGGTTCATATTGCTATGAGTGTTTTATTTTTAATTGTTAATTCAAAAACATAAGAAAATTGATTTTTTCTTGAATTATTAATCAAAAAGAATTTATATTGAAAAATTGGACACTGTTGATATTTTATTATAAAAAAAGAAAGATGTTTAATTTTATCATACAAGCATTTTTTTAATCGGATAGTCATAAGGACTATCTTTATTTTATTATAAACCTATTATAAATGTATATCCATGTATCAATTGTAAAATAACAAATTCATTTTGTTTTGTTTAGGTATGGATCTTGTGCCAGAACCAAAGATTATATGTGCAGCATTGAGAGCTTGCCGAAGGTTAAATGACTTTGCGCTTGCTGTAAGGTTTCTAGAGAGTATAAAAGATAAAGGTGGCCCACATGCTACCCAAATTTATCCGTACATTCTTCAAGAAATCAGACCGACCTTGGATGAGCTAGGTATCAGCACACCCGAAGAGTTAGGATATGACAAGCCAGAATTAGCTTATCAATCAGTGTTTGAAATGTAATGGACTAAAAACTATACTATATAAATTCTAGTATTTATATATTCTAAACTGCTGCCTCAAATGCAAACATTGAGAGAATTTGTCAGTTAAAAATTGAATTAGACATGTATTTGCATTACCAGCAGCATTGTTGAATAAACAACCACAATTGTAATTATTGTCTGTTAATAAAAAAGCAAAGCTTAATACTCTATATATGGTATATATATAAGGCATTCCAGAATTTTGAGATTTAATATTATAACAATATATAAAGACTATTGGATTAATTTTTTTTTTCTTTTGTGTTTCGTGCTTGTGATGCGAACAATTGAAATACATACTAGTAATAACATATAGCACAATCGTATTAATCACTTTTAGTTTCGCATAATTGCGATAGATGTATGAAGGTAAAATTAAAAACTACATGTGACAACTTATTTACATATTATATGATGGAGAAATTGGGAGATACATCAGCAAAGTCATGTACACATATGTCTATAATTATCTAAAGTCGTAATACATATTTTTTTCTTGCTTTTCAAATGACATCCAACTTAATTTATGTTCAGTATGTGCTTTGTTACAAACAACGGAGGGAAAATATAATATGTTTATCTTACACGTGAGTACCGATATATTACATCATTAATGCAGCTGCCCTGATATTCAAAAAAAAAACACCGCAACAATTAATATCTAGTCATTATGATACGATTTTAATAGTATTTACCACTAATTTCAACTACTTTTTTCCCTATAATGTTATAAAAATCTCTTTTTAGTATTATTACATATGATTTTTAGGGCAATTTTTTGTTTCAATATTACGATCTTTGGATCTTAAGTATTGCTATACAATACGTATAACATACTATGCATTATCCAATTTACAATTGGATAACAACTACAACTGAAGGATATTATTTCAATCATTCTACATGTAATGTAGATATGTAATGTAATATGTAATGTAGATTACATACAAAAAAAGGTGAGAGAATAAAAGTGCACAGTTAAAAAAAAGTAAAATTACTTCAGGTAAAGAGAATCCTACAATTTGTTACCGCAACATTGAAACAAGATTGCACGCAAAAAATACACTTTTCGTCACTTTAAATATATTATATAAAAATGGGAGCGATGATTTTAAATACCACGACACAGTTCAGCTATTTAGTGTAAAATAGAATCCATTACTTTTGATTACCTTCAAGGAGTGAAGGACAGTATGTGTGTGTATGTATGTATATGTGTGTGTGTGTGTATGTGAATCCTGGTTTTTACAATCTCATACCCACCTCTTTCGAAAATCAATACATACATTATAATTCCATAATTTTCAAAATCAAGAACATATAAAAGTAATCTTTCATACAAATATAACATATTACAATTCTTTCTTCGTTGATGAAAATCAAGTATGGCTCGTTGATTGATTACGCTGATCGAAGCAAATACATAGTGCAATCTAATTCTTGTAAAATAAGATTATGGACACACGCCTCTTGTTAGTGCGTATTGAATCTGTAAATTGTATATTCTGTATATTATGAAAAAAAAAAACATACATCTTACATTCTATTTGTACCCGTCAGAAATGCTTAACTTTTTTTTTCATTATTTCTATTATCGCGATCCTTTATATATTATATATAATAGCCTGTTTTTTTTGCATGTCTTGACTATTTAGAAGAAATTCCAAGTGGTCAAGAAACGCTCATGAGAAACGCCCATTGTCTGTATTATTATAATATATATATATATATATTTTTATATATGTATATATATATATATTTTACATATATATATATATATGTATATATACAGGGTGTTTTTAAATTCGCGCCTGCAAAGTACAAAACGTCATACTTTACGCTGAAAGAAACAATTTTTTCCTTTTGCAAAACTGCGTCTGATAATAATTCTTGCAGGACAGCAGGTTGAAGTTAATGAATAAGCGCTCTGATGTGGCGCTCAGGGCCGACGCGCGTTAAAGTTCTAGATTTACAAGAGTAATACTACCCACTATTTTTTACCTGTACAGCACGAAATATGAACAAAATATAGACTGTCTTCACTGTATTCAATTCAACCTTTCATTCTCAACCTTGGATAAAGTGTACGTATAATATAAATATAGAAAAATAAGTGGTATAATATTAACTCAAAAATTTAAACTAAATATTTAAATTAAATATTTAAATTAAAAATTTAAAATAAATATTTAAAGAAAATAATTATTTAAAAATTATGCTGTTGATTGCAGATAATTGTTATAAAAATATTTAAAAAAATTTTTTTTAGAGAGAATCGATAAATTATTTCTAAAATGTACATACATATAATACGTTCCATATAATTTGTAGATTAAATCATATTTAAGAAAATTAATATCTTTGAAAAGTTTATGTTATTTTCAATGCAGAATAAAAAATCGGCTCTTTAAGATCGAAATATTTTAAAACATCAGAATTGTTCCTTGTTTTATAGTGAAAATAGGTTGACAAGTGAACGAGGAGCGCGCGCCAGCCCTGAGCGCCACATAGATCAAAGCGCTTATTATTCGTTAATTTCAACCTGCTCTCCTGCAAAAACTATTTGTCAGACGCAATTTTGCAAAAGAAAAAAATAGTTTCTTTTAGTGTAAGTATGACGTTTTCGCAGGCGCGAAAACATCCAGTGTATATATATATTCTAAATATATATAGTATATGTATATATATATTATATATGTGTGTGTATATGTATATATATATTATATATGTGTGTGTATATGTATATATAATACATATTAAAAATATATATATACACACCATTACACAGTGATAAGAAAGTCATCTTGATAATCTTTTTACTCATACGATTCGATCAGACCAAACTTCGAGCTCAAACGTTCGAATAGATTGATCATATAATTTATTTGACTATGTCTGAACATTGTTTTTTAACCAATTTTTTTTTAAATATAAAAAATCAGTTTCGTTGGAAATATATATAGCACAGAAAAATTGAAAATTTTCTCCTTTACTTTTAATATCTGCAGGGAAACTTTATACCTGCGTTAAATTTAAAAAAAGATTATCTTATGTTATTAACAAAATTGAATAAATTCTACTGCCATTGTAGAAATAATCGAGCTTTACATGATAGATTAATATATGAAATTAAGTATAAATGTTTTCATTTTTTCCATAGGAAATATTAACAAATTAATAAAAGAATTAGTTTTTGGTGTGTATTCCCATGTATTAACTTGGCTATAAGACTAGAAAATATGTGCTTAACTCACGCAGTACTGGAAAATACACAAAAGTATCAGTGATTATGATTTTCCAGTAAACAGTGCGATAGATAATAATTATCTTTGAAAACAGACGCATCCTGATACGACAATAGACCTCTTTGAAAATTAATACTATATCCGAAAAATTGGATTGCAAGTGAATACCTTCAAGCGTCTATGATGTATCTTGAATACAAATATGACTATTCTTAATTTAATCAATTCATTCATTCATTCTTATTTTCAAATATAACCACTGTTTAACGACGATGCAATCAGCAAGATACGCTACACAGAAGTGGACTCAAAGAGAAAAAGAAAACACAACACCAATCATTACTAATTCTTTCACACATTTATACCTTCCGTATATCACCATAATGCACTGATAGCATGTACATGTGGTACGGAGCGATTCTTTTAGATTAACTAGATTACACTTAAAATGTTTATTCTGGGCTAGACACAGTTTGTTGTTGTTGACTGTCCTCGTCCTTAATATCGGCTTGCATGGTCTTTGTTAGAACATTGGCATCCTTTAACGATATTACTTGAAGAACCTGATGTTCTCCAGCGGCATTTATCATCGTCATGGGGTGACCTTGTATAGTAACAGCCTCAATGGTGGTGTCTCCGTTTCCTGATTCAACTTTGGGTACTTGAACCATCGGCGTTACCACTTGCATTGTGCCATCACTCTGTATATTGGCGACCATAGTTTGATACATACTGGCAGACACTGGCACTGTGATTACTCCTGAGACTGATACAGGATATCCTGAAACAAAGGTATAATAAGCATTTCAAGATCGACTCACAACGAGCCCATTGCATCTGTATTCCAAACTAGAAAATGATAGAAGAAAGGCTACACAAATATCTCAAATAAATTATACTCACAATGCGACAACGTCAAGAAGCTGTTTGCAAAGCGCTAAAACCGAACCAAACGGTCTGTGCACGATTAAAAGTGGTGTTGTTTTCACTACGCATTCTTCATTCGACAATTTTAAATTCTATCGTAACAATCAATAACTACTAGATTACGATACGAAAGAACATCCATTGGATTACTAATCCTTAATTTAACGCGTCTTTTATTTTTTTATAACTGGCATGACGCGGTCTATCAGATCACTGTAGTTATTCACAAACGAAGAAACCAATATTAAAACAAAATTATTTATATCACTACAGAATGGAAGGTACATATCGATTTCAGACTAAAGGATAAGGAAAACAAAAGGAATTAAACAGAGGTCTGCGAGACCGCTGTGTGCCAGTTAAAAGCAAAATGCTGATAAAAGCAAAACTGCATATTGCATAAATATTGAACAATTAAAAGACGCAAAAATAGTACCATTAGTTAAAGGGTGTGCTTAGAAAGAACCGATATACTTAGTATAACTCAATAATTCTTTGGTACGCCCCTTTAACTTAACATAAAATTGAAATACGATCTATCTAAGAAAATTAAGACTATTATGAGGGATAGCGAGTGTTTAAGCCGTTTGCAGAAATAAAAATTTCAAAAATCACACATTTCACATGACACTTTCGAAAAGCATATAAACGTTAGCACGATATGTTACTTATTTCAAGCAGCTTAAACACAGGCTGCTAGCACATAATGTATAAAAATAATGGTACATCAACAAAAAATACTCTATATACAGCAAGTTTATTTCTCTTCGTTTAATTAAAGTCAGTAAACCAATTTTCAATAGTAAATATAATTGTTACAACAGTTTCTTCCGTCATCGTAATTGCGATAGCGGATTGTTTTAGCAATTGTTGAGTCAAAAATTTTAAGAATCCATTGGCGATATATTTGCAGTTATTTGTACGTACATTTTTCAGTAAAAAAATTTGTAGGAGTACTGCAATAATTCTTACATACAGATACTATAGTAATAGAATAATTGTATTTTATACACAAATATATGTTATGTGCACGTAATCGCTGAACAGTAGTATCTACATGCATATTATATCACAAATAAATGCTGTTATCTTACGTAAAATGTTCCAAAATCAAAATAAAGTAACAAATAATAATGTATGGACGTATTTTTTTTTATACAATTTATACACATTTCGAAGTGCAAATATTTACGATTAATACTTTTACACACTTCTCCGTGTTATAAGTTATATATAAACGCACCATGGATTCTCAAAGAACAAAGTTTTAAAATGTGCATAGCTCCATTTATATAAAATTACTCTAGATATATATATATATACACAATACGAGGCAAATACATTAACTAGTCCAGATCCTACTTCGTAATACAAAGTAGTATAAACACATAGACATGATTCTTGATTGGAGCATAGCAGACAGCATGCAAAAAAAGATCCGGGACCAATAAAAACGAGTCACTGCTCAAGTAGTTCCTGGCCGGCGACAGTGCAGAGCCTATAAAAAACTGTTTTACCGTGTCCATCTTCCCCGGTAAGGATGATCTGGCCGTCTTGACCTAACGTTGCTTCTGTAACGGTGTTCAAATCGACGGCTACACTACCACCTTCTGTACTACCGGCTACTTCCGCTAGCGCCTGAACATCTCCTTGACTTGTATGGATCTAAATGCAATCGAAAACTTTGTTATTATATAATATTGCATAAATTTTCTTTTTAGTTTTATTTTTTATTTAATATTAAGACTATTGTCACGTCTAGTATTATCTATAGTATAGGTTCGACGATTTATTATATTATTATTATAATCTAATATTTTGTTAATATTTATTGCATTCATTTTAATTTATATTCTTTAATAATCTCAGAAAATAATCTTAGAAATATGAAAAACGTAATATTTCTATTATAAACAGTAATCTTTTGACGATATTTATAATTCCTTGTTCATATACTTCTTATATTGATTTTACATCTATATATATATTGACCTTTAATATTTCTATTTGTTTGTATATGCATGGAACGATCGAATTCATATATCACTGTATATCGATTTAATTATATTAATACACTGTACAATTAATATATATTTTATGTATGTATATTGTAAAATAAATACTGTATTTTATATCGGATGTTACATTGACCTCATTACGTGCTATTTTGTAAAAAAGTTTATATTATCAACAAGTTTTCAAAAGATCCTTAACATTTTTTTATTTTATTAAATACTTATACTTTTGAAAAAACTTACAGTAGCAACTCCTTGAACTTGAGCTGTTGTACCATCTGGTAACGTAATAATCGGCGTGCTAGGATCCACCTGTATTATAGAAACTGTTCCATCTGGATTGGTTATTGTCTGCAATACAGTTGTTGGATATTGGGCTGTCATCTGTTAAACAATTGTAAGTCACAGATAAGTAAACATATACATATCATGACATCATGGCTGCATCTCAAAACTCCATGGGCTGTCATTTTATAAATATTTTAAGAAAATTAAAACAATAAACAGAACAAAATGTACCAAAAGAAAAGATAATCATAAAAAAATAATTATAATTTTTCAGTTCAAAATTTTCAAACATTCTTGATAAAGTAGTTGTGTTATAATTGTACAGCACATTACATTGTGCATAAAAATGACAGTGAATAATGCTTTTAAATGCAGCTCTGAATCAAAGAACATTGTTATAGTATGAGTTCTTCAATTAGAATTTTAATTTTAAAATATAAATGACTGATTTATAAATGTTCTATTACTAAATGAAGATTATACAAATATATTTTAATATATATTCAATTATGAACTATATGGAAAAAAGATTTAACTCAAATAAGGGAAACCAAATATATCAATGGAAATACAACTTTGTAAAGAATATGCCAGTATCAAATTTTCGATTTTTTTTCTATAATAAGAATGCAGACTATAGAAACAAATAAAAATCAAAAATTTCTCCGAAGATTAAAAAAACTCGAAACAAAAAAGAAAAGTTATTATTTTTCTAAATATAAAAATGCATTGTTTTAGCGAATATATAGGGATCAAAAATTCATATTATTTCATGTTATTTTAGATCTGTTTAAAAAATTCTATTTTTCTATAAACTCCATCCACTCCCACCTGAGTGGCAGTGGCAAGAGCTGTGGGAGACGCGGCAATGATTTGTGCTGGCGAAGAGTTTCCCTTAGATGAATCCGCGCTGTTCAGACGAACAACTCCCACCGTCTGTTGCTGTTGCGACTGTCCTCCATTTTGTGTTTGGCTCGATGATGGATGCGACGAGGAATGAGGCGTCGCTTGCTGTAGTAGAGTATTAGATTTATCGTCATCTTCGCTAAACGCCGGTAGAAGATCTTCTCTTCCGTGATATTTGTAACAATTTATTACAATTTGCCGTAACGCATGAGTCCAAGAGATCTGTAATGGATTGCACTGTCCCAATTCATACGTTTAACATCTAATCAATAAATTCAAGTATTTTGTGTTCGTTATATCTTTTATCAAATATATAAAACAGTATAAAAATGAAAAAATAATTTATTTCTTGTACTATACTATATATATGTATATATATATATTTTTTTTAAATTATATCTAGTTACATTTCAAGAAATTTATTCTTTTGTATATTTTGTATGCATATTTTTAATATTTTTAAGTAATGATTGTATAATAATGAAAAAAATGTATAAATATTTGAAGATATTGGAACAAAATGATACAATAAAGAAATAATTAAAAATATACTTATCGAATTTACGTACTTTTTGTTTTTCGTCTTCCGTTCGCGCATCCATTCGGACATTAGCCCAAGGTAATTCCTTAGGCCACCAAGGAGGTCGCGTACTATCTCTTCCCCAGCCAGGTTTACCTCTGCCTGTAGAATACTTTAACATCAACGGGATGAACGCTCTAAGTTGCGCTTGTGTCATCTTCTCGACCGGAGTCGGTATACCATCGATTATAAGCGGTGGTAATTCGAATAATGACGGATCATCTTGCACGGGCGGCGGTGCTTGCTGCGCGAGTGCGTTCTCCAGTTCCTCCATGATAACGGTCCTTAGATTTTTAACTACATCCTCTAAGGGCTTTGCTCCAAAGACTTTGTAACTACTATTTGGTTTACCTGGCGTAGCCACTAACACTACTGCTTGTTGTCCAACTCGGGTAGCAAATTCGTCAATAGTTTGCTGTAAACAGTTCGATAATGATATTGCAAAATTCTAAAATATATTTTTATTAAAATAAATATAAACGCGGAAATATAAGAACGTAACTAATAATAAAAATATGTTATTAATAAATTATGAGGGAATTTAAATCAAAAAAATATATAAAATACTTGTCAATATCGTGTGTGTACATAAATTTGTTCTCAATAATGTAAACGCGTTTTGATCTTCGATTTAGCTTATATTAATATATAAAATTCATATATAATACTAAAAATTGTATAAAATAAAGGACAAAAATCAAATTTAATAAGAACCGTCATACAGAATTAAGTATCAAAAAACTAAAATACAGAGTTTTTACTAAATTTGATTATTGTATTTCACTCATATTTTATGTGATTTTTATTGTATTATTTATATTTCTATTAAATTTGAATTTTGTATATTGAAGAACCAAATTGTAGGTCAAAATGGTTCCGTTATTGTAATACGAGAATAAATTTATATGTACACATGTCCTTTCAGTGTTGGCTTTGTAAGTATTTCTTTTTATTCTTTTGACTGATATATTCTTCAGAGCCTATATATACATAAATTCACATAAGAGTTTCACTTACTCTAAGCTTTCTTAAAAGTCTGTTTTGTTGTCTCTTTCTGATACTGGGATTAGTTTCAAAACTATGAGGTCGTTTTCGTTTCTTGGCTGATACAATGGCAGCTGCAGCGGCGACGCCTACTGGTCCTAAAGATTTGTTAATGCAAAAAAATATTTCGTTTTATTACATTTCTTGATATGCCAATATAAGCAAGAATCAAAATAAAAGTTTCATAAATTTTTTAAAATGTTCAATAACATAAACATTTATCTATAGAGAAAAAAATAAAAAAATTCGATATTGAAATAAAAGTTAAAAACAAAATAAGCTGATGAGAGTGCAGCGCAATATTTAATGTGTGAATTGGTAGTGTAACGCGTCCTATATTTATTATTATTCTCATATGTATTTGATTTATTTATTATTTTCATGTTTTACATTAGTATGTAAAACTTTTATACAATTCGAACGACCACTTTTCAGCATACGCCTCGGTTTTTACATGTTACCATTTTATCTTTGATACTCGAACAAGTCAATTATAATTTTATTATTTGACTTATTATGACTATATAACTGTGAACTTTTACATTTGTATCAAAGTTTTCTTCAGATGCTTTCCAGCAAGAGACATAGAGGACACAGTGTAACACAGTGAATCATTACATTTTTATATGCAAATGTTAACGAAGATGACACGTTCACATACTCTTGAACTTTTCAGATAAATTCTATTTTTTTGGTTATCAGATCAGTTTGATTTCTAATAATAAATTTGTGTTACACCGTTACATAAATCACTATATAATATGCCACATCATTAGTTTCCTTCATATTATTTCTTAACTACAGTGAAGAATTCTACCTTTGAAATTGACAATTAATTAATGATCCACCTTTCATTTAAAAGCATGGAATTAAATAGTGTTAATTTTTATTTTCGCCCAAAATGATTCCAGGCGTAACTGAAACATTCGTTGGATTTCATTACGTTAACTAAAATACGTTATGCACATTACTAATTTGTGTACAATAAAAAACTAATAATAAGTACCACGCCACATACTCATTATCCCGTTTTGCTTTCTATTTTTTTTATTTATAAATATTTTATATATTTATACAGCAAAAAATTGCATAACATTGGCATAACAAAGAGGTAAGTAATAATATTTCCAATATATACAAAATAAAGATGCATAAGCAACAATGAAAGTGAAATGTGATTAAAATCAAACTTTATTTAAGAAGTATGAACATAATGATTGAATAATTATGATATTTACTGGTATTACACTGATCCCCTCTCAAATAATCACATTAAAACGAAAAAAAGTTTTGTGTGTGTGTGTGTGTGTGTGTGAAATATATCTGTTTAACACAAGATCAAAAAAATTTTTTAAACAGAAAATTCTATACCTAGAAATAGAACCTGAAAGTAAGATACTTCATCTATTCTGGATAAAAATACAGAAAAATATTGGACTGTATTCAAAAACTGAGAAATATTTTACTTATCTAAATTATTTTATTTCTCTCTAATTGAAAAAAATATGAATTACTTTTATAATATTGGTCATCATATTTATTTTTCTCTCACTATAATACATCAATCTATTTTATTTAAATAAGGAAAACATAATTCAAGAAAATATTCTGATTTTTAATTTTCACAATAAAATCTTGTCTTAACTATTAATTATGAATACAATCCGTTGTGATTCAACACTAATAATATAAAGTAAACACACAAACAGGGCAAAATGCACACAATAATAGTCAAATTATTAATGCATAAATCAGAGATAAAAATATTCATCAGTAAAACAAAAAAATGTATACATATCATCATGCTAGTCTACAGTGTAAATTATATATTTTTATTTAAATAGCTCTTCCATAAACAATTATTGTAAAATAATTTTGCAAATAATAATTCAAAAATACAAATTGTGTATACACACATATACACGCACGACACGCGCGCGCGCTCGCGCGCATACACACACACACACACACATACACACACACACATACACACACATATATATATATATATATATATTTATATAAAAAAACTTTTTTTTAAAAAAACCGGTACTTTTAATGTCAATTTTTCTCATTATTCTGTGCGTAACATTAAAATAAAATATTTTTCAAATAAATATCTAAAAATATGTCATACTTAGGTTAAAGTTACAGATTTTAATAAGTCATTTTATATTATGTACAGTGTATATTTTTGTGTAGATATATTTATATGCATACATATATATATACACACGTGTGTGTTTATTTGTGTGAAGCATCAAATTCTCTTACTTGAAATTTAGTATTTTTGCAGAAAGTTTAGCTATAATGCTAAATAACACTTGCAGAAAGATAATGCATCCTGCATATTTTGCTTGATCCGTAAATAAAGGTGGTTAGGTAATAAACAAAAAAGTGAAAAAAGCGAAAAAAAAAATGGGAAATCACCATTAATGTGTTTGATTTGCCAACCTGCTGCGGCGAGTTGAGCTGTAACATCGTCATCCATTGCAGCCGAAAGCAGATCTCCTTCCTCATAGGTCTCAGATCCACTACTAGGATCATCGTCATCGTCGTCTGACAGCCTGCGCATCGTGCTAGTCTCCGCATCTTGCATGGATACCATCTTTACAGATTTGTCAACCGTTTCGGAGGTATCTTGAATATTGTAATAACCCCGTAGAAAGAAGAAATGTCGTCAATTCGGCGGTTTCAATTTCTCCTTCACATCACCTTAGCCTGAAATGATGGAAGTACCTTTAAAACAGTTCTCTAATGAGATTTCTGTACAGGGTACAATCGCGTCATTAAAGTAATTGAGAAATACTGAACATGTAAAAGATGAATCAAGATTCTTGATTCATTGACTGTATATTGCTATGTTATTCTTAACATTCTCTGCATGTTTACGTCCGTCTCGCGTATACATCGTTTGCCCGAAACTGGGGAGCAAAAAAAGAAAGGCGACAAGCACGTGTTTCCTTTTCCGGAGGAAGGGGAAAGGAAGGGAAAGAAAAACGTACGCAGAGAGGTAAATCTGGGGTATGTACATTTCGCACGAGTGACGAGCTGCGGACGGCGGGCGGGTACCAGCAGGCGACGGATGGAAGACTTTCCGCGTCTCGCACGCACATTTCTCCCGATGGATGAGTTAGCGCGCGAATACCCCCGCAGGCATGAAGGAGGGCGTCGAGAGGTACGGCGGTAGGCGACGACAGCGGTGGTGGCCGCCGCCGCCGCCGCCGCGTCTCTCGTTCACCTCGCGGCATTGCGTCGCGGACGCAAAGTTGACGAACGGGGAGACAGCAGGTGACAACAACAAGACAACGCGGCGATAAAGAACGCGCGCGTAAAGCGACGACCGAGAGAGAAAGAGAGAGAGAGAGAAAGAGAGGGAGACGGAGGAGGAGAGAAAGAAAGAGAGGGAGACCGCGGGGATATGCGCGTTTATTCGGGCCGATACTTTGGGGGGGCAATGAAAATGCGCAGGGCACACGCAAAAGAGACCACCACCTCCGGGTAGCCGCGGGTATAGCGGAGCAGCTCACGACGGCTGCTCGGTAACGCGGCAGCCTTAGGAGCAGGCCCAGTGAGAAGATCGCGAGTTGCGTACGCACCTTGGTGTGTTCCCGCCGGAGTGGAGATTCAAGGGAGGGCTTAGGGCTCTCTCTCTGCGTCTGCGGGGAGGCGACCGCCTCGGCTACGCTCTCGCACCACGCCCCGCGCACGCGGTCGCGCCCGCGCTTATCATCCCCGTCAGCCCGTGATGGCCGGTCGTGCGGCGGCGAACACGCGAGGCCACTTGCCGCGTTCTACCTCAGGACGCGCGACGCGCGACGACAACGACAGCCGCCATGGCCGGTATTCGGCTTGGCGGCGGGCGTATCGATCGGTACCGACGAGCGGCGGCGGGCCTCCATCACCACCACCACAACAAAACGCGGACACGGTACCGGCCATCTTGGGCGAGTCTGCGCGATGCAGGTCCACCCGAGCAGACGATGCGAAATTGCAACGATTTCGCGAACGGCGAGAAGGTCGCGCGCGCCCGATGCCGATCGCCGATCGTCCGCGCGCCGAGTTCGCGGCCCACCCGCGCCGATACTCACCGTTTTCCCGTCGAAATCCGCTCAACGACAGCAGCGATCCGGGAGAACGCCAACGCCATGTACATATATACAAGCTTGGTATAGCGCGATTGGCGGGAATCGCTCGGGCACGCGTCATGGCGGACCGAGCTACCCCCGCCGCCATTGGTCCGAGGGACACGTGACACTGGCCGTCCCGTTCGCAGCGCGGCACGACGTAATGTCGGACGACCATAACCTACCTGCCTCCGGCATCATCCTTCTTCTTCTTCTTCTTGTGCCTCTCTTCCGCGACGCGACCCGTTTCTGCTGTCTGTCTGGGATCTCCGACTACCTCCGGCGTCGCCCAGCGTCGTCCGTCTTCCTCGTCGACCACCATCCGACGTTGTTCTCGCCGCTCGAAAGTCCACCCCTCGTAAATGTCAGCGCCACGTTCGTTCAAGTACGCACTATTCCCTATCTAATGTATCTTGCTGTCTCACGTTGGAATAGAATTTTAGAACTCGACTATTCAACTACGTGCAACGTATGTTTTCTTTAGCGTGGAACTTTGACCCAAACTCTGATTAATTTTATCGATAATTTATCAAGTGAAAACCTGTATGTTAAACGATAGAATTTCTTGTTAACAATAATATATTCAATTAGACTGCATTGTGAATATGATGCTTTCCACTCTTTCCAGTGAGAGAGAGAGAACGTAACACAGTGATCATATCATCTTTTGTTTAACATTGCCAAGAATGTAAATAATTCATTGTATCATATGTGTCTCTTTCTAGAGAACACCCACAAGTAAGCAAAATGAGAAAAGTTTGTATAAAATAGTTATAGTTTTTTCTCTCTTAAAAAGTAACTAGTTATTGTTACAAGTCACTAATTCTAAAAAATTGTGTGGAGATGCCCTTACAGTTACTTACAGTTTAAGAATATCTTGATATGAGTCATATTTATTAAAAACAGGTGTTTAACAAAAATAAATTTGACGAACTTGATTGTGTTCCTCTTGATGTTTGTTTCTTGATTATTTTAATATATACATTCCACCAGATTAGACATTCTTGTATAACGATATTCTATTTTCTATACACGTTTTTAATCTTATTGTTCAATTTATCATATAATATATTTCAATGTTCTACAATTTGACTACTTCACAAAAGTTTAATTCTTGGTAATTTACAATAATTGATTAATATACATGTTTAATTTGATAACAATTAATGTATGATATTTCTATATTGACTAAACAAATAAATTTTAGTTATATCATACAGGTAATTTAGTTTTGACTTCATTTCTCAACTTTTCTTCGCTTGACACCAAAGATTTGATGACCTATGTGCCAAAATAGATGGCAATTCTGTTGACATTTAAAAAAACAAGATTTTAATGTCGAATGATTAACCGTTCTCTTTGTTTTACACTTTTGCAACAATTTAAACCATCATACTTACCCCATCATAAACTTGTTATTAATCATTTCAATCAATGTATATCCTAATTATTTACAAAAATTACTGAAGAAGGCCCTGTGGTCCCAAAACGTACTTTTTTTTTATAGTTATCAATGAAATAAAAAGGCAATTAAGAGTCAATATTATATGTGTGAACTAATAAAACATTTAATATAATATAAATTAAAATAAAATAAAAATAAACTAAAAAATTCACACTATAAATGCGCACGCAAACAAAAGTCAATTTAATTTATAATATATTAAATGTTTTATTAGTTCACACATATAATATTGACTCTTAATTGCTTTTTTATTTCATTGACAATTTTTAATACTAAGAGTCCTGTATATTCGTTCTATTTTTTATAATTCTCATTGAATAAATAAGAAAATATTAATAACTTCTTTTTGCTCTCTCTTAATTATTGACCTTTTCTCAACATAATTTTCCTAACATAATCATTTACAGAATATGATCAAGAATAATCCAATTACAAGAAATAGTCACAAATTTGTTCATTGGGTAATTACTTCATTTTAGTTAGCTAATAAATTTTATGCAAAGTATTACTAAATTAGTTGCAACGATAGAAAACGTAAAACCAGATAAAAGGCAAAAAGACAAAATATACAAAATAGTAAAAAACAAAAAATAAAATGCACATTGTAGAATAGGCTTAAAGTTATTTGGCTTATTTCAAAATTCACATTTTTTTCGCAATTTATAATAAAATCGTATTTATTTATCTATATTCTAAGATGTACAGAAAAAGATAATATAGAAGAAAGAAGTCCATCACAGGCACACTACTACAATGCTGAATTATTTCATAGTTATGCTTTCTGAAACCATGACAGAAAATACATTTTGTTCCTATTTTGTTTTTTTTACAATTGTTACAACTACAATATAAAAGTAGTATTAACTAAATACAATAATGTTGTAAAATGGCATAAAGCAGCTCTTTACATATCACATCTGAGACAGAGTAAATTAGAAACTATGAATTTTACATCACACTAGAGTTACCAATCGAGATTTGGATCTAAATCTTATGAAAGCTTTAATGCTTTTCTCTTCACGTCAAATAAAAACAAGAATACACTACAAATCTCTTCGAATCATTTTAATATCACGAGATTCTTTCTCTACGAACCCATAGACTTTTGTTTCTTCGTACAATTTAGGATAATATATGTAAACACAATCTGCCGTAATTTCATCTAGTGATTTTAGAATGATGTCGCTTTCTAAAGGATTCAGTTGGTACGAATAATAATAACGTTGAAAATACTCCATTAGTCTAAGCCCATGGCTTGCTTTTATGACAAAACTTTCCGTACCAGCCAGCTTCGCAGAGGCATGTGTCATTTGATTGACAGGTTCCATGTTTACACGGCTTGCTACATGTTGAACGTTGTGACGTTATATGTGTGGTTGCAATTTCGCAGTGATTGCCTTTATATTCGTTTGAACATCTGCAGATGTTAGTGCCCTTGCATTTGCCTCCGTTGAGACAAGGAATAACGCATTTGGCTGAAAAAACAAAAAATTGTTTAACATAATAAATTTTTTTTTAATTTTATATCCTTTCTAAATTTTATATAATTTAAAAATGTTCTTTGAGACCCGTTGTTGTACTTACAAAATTCACAGCGCAAGCCGAAATAGCCTTTTGGGCATTCACAGATATCTTTTTGAATACATTTTCCTCCATTCAAACATTTCTCTGTGCAGATACCTGAAATTATTTGGTGTAATCAGTCTTCATAAGTAGCAATAGAGAATCTAACTTTTTGAAATTTTACAGAAAAATGTTACACGTCAGAGGAGTGGGTATACGATTGGCCAGTACATTAGCAGGCAGGAGTTCGTCTAAAAAAATGCTAGATTCGATGATAAGAATCGATCATGCTGGCGAATTGGGAGCCGACAGAATATACGCCGGACAAATGGCCGTACTAGGTATAATTATCTAAATTCATAATGTATAAATGTGGATATAGATTAGAATTCTAATGGTTTTTTGCGAAATCACAGGCAACACGGCGATTGGACCGACTATACAGCACATGTGGGATCAAGAGAAACGACACCACGCCAAATTCGAGGAATTGATTCGCAAGTATCGAGTCAGACCCACCGTCCTCACCCCACTGTTGAATATCGCCGGATTCGCTCTGGGTGCCGGTACTGCTCTCATGGGTGAGAAAGCAGCGATGGCGTGCACTGTGGCAGTGGAGACTGTGATCGTTGAACATTACAACGATCAGTTGCGTACGTTGATGGCGAATAGCGACAATGTGGACGAAGAGATACTCGAAACTATAAAGAAGTTCCGAGATGAAGAACAACAGCATCATGATACGGGTATAGATCACGGCGCCGAGCAAGCTCCGTTTTACCAAGCTCTGACAAATGTGATCAAATGCGGCTGCAAAACAGCTATTTCAATTGTTAAAGTGATATGAATATATCTGCAAGTGTTCGAGATTAAACGTTAAAGATTTTAAAAACATTAAAGTTGTTACTTGTAAATAGCGTTGTAATTTATGTAATATTATTATTATTAATTATAATATTATTATTAATAAATTATTAATAGTACTACGGTATTAATTTAATAATATTCGGAACATCCCGAGTTTAATAGAGCATTTTTTAATCACTGATTTTTTCATGAATTGAATCCATAATAAAAAAATCCATGTGTACCACGAAGTGTGTTAAGAGACTGATTTTGATATATCTAATTTGATAGATATAAACGATTACATTGAATCTATTTATAATAAATGATAAAATTGTGAGATTATATATTATTTGGGGTGTGCCAACGGGTACAATGTTTCAATCACGAATACGGCAAGAAAATCGATCGAAAAAGAATAGTTACTAAATACTATTATTATTGAAATATTAGCAAAAAAACAATTTAATATTTAAAATAATCAAAATAATATTAATAGATGAAAGATATGGAAGGCGCACGCTAGTTCTATGAAAAATGAACTTATTTAATAGAAGTAATGCAATTTAAAATTAAGTAGAAATAAATAAAAACACTATCATGTAGTCAAGTGAATCTTCATAAATTATGTAAAATACATATATTAATTAAAATTGACTTGTACAAGTAATATATTATATGTGTAAAGACCATCACACGTACGAAAATTTTAGTAGTAATCGTAAGGTCTTAAGCAAATCGACCAATCACAATCAAGATTACGATTTTACATTTTAATACGCTAAACTGTGATTGGCCGATTTGCTTAAGACCTTACGATTGCTACTAAAATTTTTGTACGTGTGATGACCTTAAGGAAAAAATTCCAAAAAAATCCACTTGAAAGAAATAAAAATTTTATATGTACCCAAAAAAAAAATAAAGGTTACCATTATTTCTTCACATAATTTCTCAATAGACAGAATTTAAATATTTGTTCCATTTTACAATATTTTAAGATCTATCTTTTGCGTAGCATTTGTATCTAAATTGCTGAACCAGTCTTACGTCTCGTTTTCTACTTCCTGATTTGATATAAAATGTTTTTGTGATAATGATCTTTCTAAGAAGTTAGAAATCTGAAAGTATGAAATTAGACAAATAATCATACGTTTTTAGACGTAAATAGATTCCTCCTTGTCAACTTTATTCACATGAAATATATAATGCTGGATTTTTTACCATTTAAATTGCTTAAACTTTGCGAAAACTGTGATAGATTATTCATCGAAAATTTGTTGCAATGCTCATTCATACTTTTATAATACAGCTCTACACAACTATAGGAAAGTTTTTGTATCTATTGAAAAAATAAATTCAGGAGCACGTACTACATCTCTGACTTCGTATTCTCGCTTTTTCGTCTTTTTGGATAGTTTGGAGAATATCATTTGAAAAACATGTGCTTAGAGATGATCAAGAAGTGAAACATAAACTGACTCGGCAAGTTAAATACAAATTTCTATGCAAAAAATTTCTTGAAATTAGACATATGATACATGCTTGGACAAATACTCGAATCGATAGGAGCTATATGAAGAGATAAATTAATGATATACGTAACATTTACTTCGCTGCACATATTTCGAAAATTAAAATAACATTTTTTAATGTTATCTCTTTTGAGCGAACTCTACTTTTTTCCATCATATGTTTATGTAATTTAATATACCTCCTTCGCAGTAAGGACCTTGATATCCTGGCGGGCACGAACACACGCCTGGCGCTGTGCAGTTACCACCATTCATACAATTCGGATAACAAAGCGCTGTTTTACAATTAGGACCTAGATAACCATCTGGGCAGGGACCAGGATTAGGCTCTGCAAAAATAAAGATTCAGTTAAAAAAAAATGGAATATTACCGTGATGTAAATACATTACACAAATACGCAAATATGAACACATGTTTATTAATTATCTTTGTACGATTAAACACGAGAAATATTTCGGTAACAGAACCGATTACGATCTCGCAGTTAATCTGATAAGATATTCTTCTAACGCAATTTCATGCAGATTTAATCGCGAATTTCTTTTCAAAAACTTAATGATTAATCATAGAATTGAATTCAATACAATATATTATATATTTAATATTATATATTTATCTCATATATATATATATATATATTTTTTTTTTTTCATAAAAAAAGAATATATTTTAATTTATACAATACTGAATAAATATAATTCATTTGTTTATCTCATATATCATGGTTTGTATATATACAAACCATGGGTTTCTTTCGATTGAATTTTACTTGTCGAAAGAGAAAACTTCGATGTTTAAATATATACATATTTAATTATTTCACATTTGCACATTCAATCTGCTATGCTACGAATTATCATTGATGTATTATCGCAGAAGCGATTATACGAAACATTCGAGAGCATCATATTTGTCACCTCTATCTGAATTCGAGAAGATGAAAACAATTACGTGTCACGTGGATCGTTATTTGCTAGTCTTTTCTCATTCATGATTTATATAATAAATTCAATCGTGCTGAACAATCCTTTCAATCCTCGATATTATCAAGATATTTATGTATGTAAAGTACTTTAATAGCAGATAAACATATACTTGACTTAATGATTAGTAACTTGAATGCACAGAGATTGAGAGAGCTGAGAATAACGCCGAGAAGGCAGAGCAGACTCGTGCGTTCTTTTGCATTAAGTAGGCAATTAGGCACTTAATTCATAATTCGCGGACGAACAATGACTCGAGGAAGCATAGAACTGGCTAACGCTTAATAAATAAAGCGTCGGACAAAATAAAACAAAAAAAAATGAATGCTAATGTAGAAAATACAAGCGTATAAAACGGAAAAAAGTAACCGATCTGAGGTAATATTTTAATGAAAACAATTTTTTTTAATATAAGCCAAAGCGAGTATTTTCCGAACATCAGACGATAACAATAGTTAATTGCTAAATTGCAAAATGAAAAGCAAGGATTTTAGCACTGGCATAATTTCTCTAATCGAGTTCAAATTTGCATGCCGCACGCGATAATAGTTAATAAACCTTGTTTGAGGATAAACGAAATCCGACGTAATAAGATCCTTCCTCACGTACATACATGCAGCATTGGAAATCGAGTTTACCGAAATTATGCTCGTTCCCGATACTCATTAGCAACACTTGCTTCATTCAATACGCCTGATACATCAAAAAGAAGAACGATTGACATTACTCAACACTTTGCAATTGTAATTAACGTAATCACAAGATAGTTGTATTACTATAAGATAGCGTTAATAGAATCTATGCTTTTACGGTAACAAAAGCAGTCCACCTTGCGAACGGCGATGGGTGCACGAAATTGAGGTCCGTTGTTTAGGCACAACATTAAAATATTATGTTTTAAAATCTCTTTTTCTCTTGCGTTATTTCTTTAGTATTATAATGCACAGTAACATGCACTGAGAAAAGATGTACTAAGTTTTAATAAATAATTATTTGAATATTATATATAAATTAACATTTACTTCCAGTAAATAAATATTTACTCAATAAAATTGTTTATTCGAAAAATGTTAGTTAAATGTTAGTCAAATTAATTCTTATACTAAATAAATGATTCAGTGCATTTTTTGTCAGTAATAAACTGAAATAAGAAAACGATAGGCGGTATACATAGTCGGATCTTATATTTAGGATTGTCTTAAATAGTCTTAAGATATCATGAACCAATTAGAAAGCGATATTAGCATCTTAAGAAATTATTTAAGAATAAACTATGAATACCGCCCTCTGTTCAGTTAAAGCGAGTCTCAATGTCTACTAATATTTTTATATAAATTTCTACTATTTCTAGTTCAAGTAAATTGTATACCGATTGTTTATCGGTCTTAAAACATAGTTCTAGACTGAAGCTGGACCACGTAATATTACAAATTAATTTAGCATTACTGAGATGCTAATGAGCATTTTTTAAACATTGTAAAGAACTTATAGTATTAAATCTGTCATTCCGTGCAGGCGTTTTATCAATTCGTTTCAGCTTCAATATAGGACTGTGTTTCAAGATCTATGAATAATTGGCGCGCAATTTACTTGAACTAGCAGTTATAAAGTTTACAAAAAAATATTATTATAGGCACTAAAATCTGCTTTGACCGAATATGATTTTCATCGCTGATTAAACATTTCTCGAATAATTCTCATTTAACATGAATAAACACGAACAAAGGTTATTGGAACACGTGCGTCCCTAGGAACTGGAGAAAATTTTGAGACTCTCAAAGAAACCTTTTGTTTCCTCATGTTTTAGTAAGTAACTGATGCCTCAAGACGCTTCGAGGTGCTCCTTTTTGTAACGTGACGAGACACGAGTGCGCGTGTAAAATTAGCCACGTGCAAGTTTTACGAGGGCGTTAGGAAAAGGTCCAAGTCGAAAGTTAATCGATTCGCTACTCCCTTTGACACCTTGACAAACGCAAGCATCCTCGTTCGGACCGGGATCTCGTCGCGATGATCGAGGCTCGGAGCAACCGTTTAACGACGTAACATCCATAAATCTCCCACAGACACTGCAGTGGAGCGGCGGAGATTCGATGCGCCTCCCTCGCACAATTATCGGACCCATCGTTCCGGTCGGCAGGCGAGAGCAGGTACAGGTAGATAATCTTTCTCTTACAAAGTATCAAAACGTGCGCTCATACGCGCATCAGGTACATGCTGTCGATTAAATAAAAAAGAGGAGAGCCAGTCGGAACGAATGAACCATGCGCGAACCGGATTTCGTGGGCGCGCCGTTTACGCGCCGCGATGCAACATCCTCGCGAGGCGAGGAAGAGATCCGGTCGATTCCTGACTGCCTCTCCCGCATCGGTTAAGAGCATGCAGCAAATTAGGCGATGAATTACTGCTGATACAGAACTGTATGTGCGAGCGAAGAGGTGGTGATCGTGGGCGCGACTGACGGACTCACCGCGCACGGTGCATTCTTTTCTTAAACTGAGACGAAGGGGCGTCCCGTTTAGAGGTTTCCCCTTGAGGTTCTCGATCATCAGACTGATCCCGAATTGCGCTATGCCCGAATTGCCGGCGCAAGGTAAGAGAATGCTGAAATCTGCAACGGAAAAACAAACAGGGTGAGATCTGCTCCATGCAACTGAATTTTCTGCAGTATATTTCCTATCTCATTCAACTTTCGAAGCGTTTCTCACTTTAATTTTGACTCTTAATTTTCACACCATCGGAATGTTTATTCAAATTTTAATACAATTCTTTTAAATTTAATTTTAATTTTAAAAAATATATGGTTAAAAATTAATAGACCTATTATTGAGTTTTGATTCTCGCAGTTCGATCTCTTTGGCATTACGTGACATAATATTTACTCGATCTGAGAGAAAACTACTTTTATAAAACATATTTAAGAGAGAGAACTAAAAATATTTTCTTCTAATTGCACGAGAATCAAGAGGCGTTTCAGATTTTATCGATCAAACTTCCACACTGCGTTCTACAGTAAAGATAACAAAATTATATAATCACAAATGCAAAAATATTTTATTGAAAAACATAAATATAATTATCTTTGTATATACGATTAAAAATCAGGGAATGCGCTTTCTATTTCGATAAATGGAATCGGAAACATGTCTTGTAGTTAATAGATAAGATGATACTTTTCTAATCGTATGCAATCTACAGATTTAGTCAAATTTCTTTTTACAGGACAAGACAAGCTGATAATATTTATTCTTAATGTATTTATGAATGACTACGTTTAATACCTCAAATAAACATGAAAATTCGTTCAAAAATCAGCGATGGCAATTTAATCTTTGCAAATGTAACGTCATAATAACTCGTCATAACTCGTTTCAGATTGAATCGACCGAACGAAATATTCTTCAAGCAAAACAAATTCCGATACAAAAGAATGTGTCTATATAAAGAATATCTTCGACGCCTTCTCTTATAGATCAGGTAGATTTTACACCACACGCCAACAAAGATATCTACCTTTGACTGTGTAAACAAGAATCGTCAGGGCACGGCACTTATGCAACATCACGTAGAGAGATAAAAGTTAATAACAAAACGGTCGGATTTGCGATCGCGGGCGTGTGCAACAGAATTATTTCAACATATCATAGAACGTGATGCCGGTAAAGCTACATCCAACAGTAAGCGCGATTTATTCGTGAAAATGACATTTTATCGCGCGATAAAAGCCGAACGTGCATTAGACTTCGATATATTCAGCCTCCGAAGTCTAAATACACTTTGACTGACAAACGAAAACGCTATTAGCACGTTAACACTCATTGATGCTAAGCGAAAAATAACTGCATCAGCAAGACAGACGAAGACTTTATTGCAATTTACGATTATTTGAATTTTGTAGGTTTTCACTCGAGAACTATTATCGAACAAAAAATCGTGAACATTTTTCTCATACTTATAGATTCTAGCAATCTTTTTCTGTCTTGCAAGGTCTTGATTTATTAATTTTTTTAGTGATAAACATTTTCGTAATATTTTTTAACATATATACTGTTGCACTTAACGGAATTTATTTTAGAGTGCTTTATAAAATAAATTCTTAACAGTAATAATATAATTCAGTTTTTTTTTTTTTATAAAGTTCCAATATTACTGGATAATAAAAAGCTTTTTCTTTATATCTTTCTTTCTGAATAATGTGAGATAGTTATTTCTGATGTATTTTTATCTGCTAAACACATTATTCGATTATTAGTTCGCATTAAAACAAATGACGCTATAAAGATGCAAGAAACGATAATTTTGAAAGTATTCATGTACGGTATTAGCAGAAATTTTTTACAATTTTTATTAATATTACGTGAAAGTATCAATTTTTAATTACCTGTATTAATAATTTTGACATACTGATAACATTGGACAACCGATAACCCTTTTTTATATAATATTATATAATTTATATTTATATAATGTAATTATATTATGTAAGTATACAAAAGCACTTTTCATCTTTTCACATAATGCAGTATTAAGATGAAGAGAGAGAGAGAGAGAATAAAATGCCTTTTTTATATATTACATGAAACGAGTTATTTACTGGAAAAATTGTTTTGAAACGAAACAAAATGCATTTTACGACTAAAAGTTGATACTTTCGTGTGATATAAATGAAATTTAGAAATAAAATTTGCTGTTGGTGTTGCAACATTATGAAAATCCTCAAAATCCTTTTTTGCCTTTTTGACGCCAATTTTATCAAAATTATTCAGTAGAGTAGCTAAAAAATGACTATTCATATTTGTATTGCAAAATGTATTGATAATAATATCATTTAATTTTTACACTAAGATTTTTCGAACTTACAATTAGTAATGACACTAATTGTAAATTTATAAATTTGTAAGCTTGTATTTTTTAAACATCCTTAAGCATTCTTTTTTAATTTACTTTAAAAGTGACACAACTCAAAAAACTAAGTTTCCCACATAAAAGGGAAAAAACTATTTTTGTCAGTTTGATACGAAATTATTGACTAAGTAATCACAAAATATCGGCAAAAAGAATATATTGTTAACACGATGAAATGTCATTTTCGTTTTACAACCCTTAAAAACTCATACTTTTTTAGTTGTAATCTTCTGACGATTTTTTTTACGAAAGTTAGTTATAACGAATTCGATAACGCACTCAGTGCGCATATCAAAGCTATCGTGCACAAATTGACGTAAAGATATGTGTTTAATATAAATACAGAAACCGTGAAATCCCGCAATATACACTTTAGTATTTTATAATTCGAAATATTCCATTTTTATACTCAGATTAAATCAGTGTATAGTTTTGATGATCGATAGGGTACGTTTACCTAACTCATTCATGTCCTGGCGAAAATAAAAATCGGAGTATAAATCGAATAAGAAGTGAAGAGTAACGGAAGAGTAAACGAAAGGAAGCTTCCTTCTAGGAAGCAAAAATTGAAATAACGAAAAGAGGTGTTACACTTGGTTTTTTTTTCTTACATTTGATTGTTGTTTCAATTTTTGCTTTCTATAAGTTGCGTTTACGCTTCTATTACTCTCTTTTCTTATACTCGACTTACGTTCCGATTTTTATTTTCGCCAGGACGATAACAACTCGAAATGATGTTTCTTTCAGTTGTATCACTTTTGACGTGAGGAAACGATATATTTGAGAGATATATTGACAGTAAATCTTTACCTTTCGGTCTCTTAGGCACCCGTCCTTGCTTTTTGATCGTGATCGATGGAGTTTTCAAGATGCTCTCGTCGTACGACTTTAAACGAAAAAAGTTGTAATAGTACTTTTTTACTCCTGACTTCCACGTGAAATTCACGTGCGACACCTCGCTTGGGATAATCGGCAGTTTATTCTCAAACTCTGGATCTAAAAGATAAGCCAGTACTCGGCCCTCCGCAATCGCGTATATTTCCATTGCAAGCCCTGCATTAGCCAAAAATAGTTTCAGTTTTACATTGATGTTTATAATCATTTTTCTAACGTCATTGGCGTAACCCGATATCACGAATATCAATCGATTCTTTTTCTATTCTGTATTTATTTAACGATACTTTTTGCACCGAACTCATCAAAGGTATAACATATGAAATTTATAACGGAGCATCGCGGAGCAGCGAGCGATATGATACGCGGAAGAAAGGGGGTCACATATGAAGCTAAAGAGGGGGGGGGAGGAAGAAAATAAGAAATCCGAGGGGCGATTCACTCAACATCTGTGAACTGTATACCGCTAAACATCTTAATTTGCTGCTGGTCGATCCAGAGGGAGATGTCACCGGACGGCTTGTGGCCGGGGTTCCCGGAGCGATGCTGATGCCGGGCGAGGGCCGCGTCCAGGAGGAGGGCCAGGGCGAGCGTCGCCGCCGCGGCCAGGGCGGCCGCAGCCGATCGCATAATTGCCCGCGCCGCTGCTGCCGCCGCAGCCGCTGTCGTCGTCGTCGTCGCCGCCGCCGCTACCAGGTGTGTTACGCGCGCACACCGGTGTGAGGAAGCCCGGGTGTCCCTTCCCCGGCAACCGCCGTTCCTGGCCGTCTCTCTTAAAATGTATTTATTCAACGTGCCGGCGTGCGTGCCGTTGGCGCGATCCGACGCGTGAAATCGGGGGGGATTTCACGGGGCGCGCGCGCGCGCGCACACGTCTCCTCCGCGCGGGCAGATATATATACCGGAGAGATCCCGCGGTGATTTCAACGCACGGTTGTCTACCCCCTCGATCGGTAAAACAGAGATTGAGAGAGAGCGAGCGAGAAGGAGGGTGAGATGGTGGGAAAGGGACGAGAGGAAGAGTATATGAGAGAGGCGCGCGAACTTTCCTCTCTCGCTTATGCGAGAACGGCGCGCGATATACGTATGTAACGATGCGCGCGAACCGCGTCGCTCCGGCGGACTGACTGACTGACTGACTGACTCTCAATGAGAGAGTCGAGGCACGCGGAGCGAGTAGCGAAACCTCTCCCGTGAAGCGAGATAGAGATCTCGCAGACGGACCCGCCGGGGCACGCCGGTCGCCGGGGAGCGAGAGCGACGCCGCCGCGGAGTTAAGGCTGCGTGCACAATGTATTCGGAAATCTGCTTTGCCAATCTCCCCCCCCCCACTCACT